GGGTCAGCCCTTTGATATCATTCAGATTGCAATCCAGTTCTTTGAGTAATAAAAACAACTGTATTCATCTTATAAATTAAATCTTTATAAGAACAGAAAAGTTCTATGTGATTCAAAGCTCACTTATTTTTTAATATTTTACCAGTCCTATGAGAGTAGACTACTGAGCACACTACAGTAGAGAACTCTAACAGTTTTGATCAGTACATCATGGTATTGGAGTCATCAAGGAAAACACAGTAGTCTAGCACTGGATGGTACAATGCTTTGCTGACATAAAGAGACAGAACAAGATCAACTTCACTTGTGAGCACCGGACCCCATGCCCAGTGGGCCTCTCTTGGTGGCTTAGGCATGGCAATTGGCCTAAACACACCTCTCCTGTAACAGGGAGAAAATTTGTTCCTTTTCACAGAAGACAGGTATAACAGTGGATTGGTCAGTTGCCATTTGATGCATATTCTTTAAGCAGAGACAAAATAGTCAGAAAGTTAAACAAGGAGCAATGTCCTCACTCAAGGTGATAAGCCTGACACAGGCTGTATGGGGTCTTTATCTCTTTGTAAAAACATGTTCCAGGCTCAAGGTTTATTCTTATGTGGCTGAATGCACATGAGACTACATGCATGAGAATGCCTTTTCCAAACAATTTCCAAACAAGATAAAAATATGAAAACATTAATTATTCAACATAGGATTACCTACATTGGGCTTCTTATTACAGAGGGATTAAAGCTATTTGGATTTGTTAATAAGTATGTCTTATGCCACACTGAAAAATTTACTATGAGGAAGAATATACATACTTGCAGAAATCATGAAATTTTTTCACAAACTTGCCGATCTACAGAATGCTGGTATAACAGTCCATAATAGCTCACCTTTTAGTTTTCACTAGAAATTAAATGGCTAAACATTTGAATCAACACATGCAGTTAAAACTTCTAGAAATAATAAGAGAAATAACTCCATATAGGGAGGATAGAATGTGTTTTTGGTAAGAAAAGACATGAGGTATGAAAATGAACTTTTGTTAAGGGAAAAGAGTAATTTTGTTCTAAAAGAATGGTCATTTTAGAATGAAGAAGAAGAAAAGATTAAAACTAAATGGAAGTAGAAAGCGGAAAGTGAGAGAAACATCTTACTTGGTCAAGCTGGTGAGAAATGAATGATTTTATTTAAATATTTTAAAATATTTTTTAAAAATATGGGGTGCTTGGGTGGCTCAGTTGGTTAAGCATCCGACTTCGGCTCAGGTCATGATCTCACAGTTTGTGGGTTTGAGCCCCGTGTTGGGCTCTGTGCTGACAGCTAGCTCAGAGCCTGGAGTCTGCTTCAGTTTCTGTGTCTCCCTCTTTCTCTGACCCTCCTCTGCTCACGCTGTCTCTCTCTCTCTTTCAGAAATAAATAAAATATTTTAAAAATAAGCTTCACCATCAATAGCATACCTATGCAAAATTAAAACATAATTCTCTTTCGTTTTTTAAACATAAAAAGTTTTCTTAAACTTTAGTGTGTTCTTTTTAAAATTTATTTATATATTTTGAGAGAGCATGAGTTGGGGGGGGGAGAGAGAGAGAGAATCCCAAGCAGATTTCTCACTGTCAGTGCTGAGCCCGACATGGGACTTGATCTCATGAACTGTGAGATCAAGATCTGAGCCAAAACCAAGAGTCAGATGCTTAACCAACTGAGTGACTCAGGCACCCCTCTTGGTGTGCTCTTAATAAGAGATTATAAAAGGTTGTTCTGTACCTTTGTATAATCTATCTTGAAGGCAAATATATTGTGTCTTACCAAAATAATCTCTTGTGCTTCATGCTGTTATTATCAGGTCTTTGATTACTTGGGGGAACTGAGTCTCCTTTATTAAAAGAGCTAAGATTTTTTTTTGCAAGATCTAAGGTTTTTTTACAACTATGTAACTTTTTATGTTTGCCTTAGGAATCTTTATCACTTTGGTTGGATAGATAACCCAGATCACATTCAATCAAGTGTTCAAACTTTTTGCTATTTCTTATAAACTTCCCATAATGAAATTCTAAATGAAGTCTTTTTGATCTCAAATTAACTTTGGGATATTTAAGAGGGTCCCCGGAACATTTCAAAAGTTTTTTTTCTCTCTCTTTATAAAAGAGACATGTTAGACAATTAGATTAATTTCACATGTCAAATCACATGGGAAGCATTGTCAAATAAAAAGCTAACCCTTTCTTAGGTTATACTTTTGATGTATGTTACTGATATGAATTCCAGAAATTGTATGAAATTCCTAGAACTATGTTATGTCTTGGTATAATATTACCAGTCATAATTCTAATTTTTATCTTAAAATTTATGTCAGAAAAAAAATAAAATGTCCTTGTCAATTTCACTGTAATGGGCTCTCATAAGATCTTTAACATTGACTACTTTTAAGTCTTTTGACATTTACAGTTATTGGTTTACTCTAATGCTTTTGCAAAAGTGCTTCTCTTCAAAGAGATTCATAAAAGTGACTGACAAGTACAGATTTCTGATAACTTTAATGTCATATCTTGAACTGGTCATACCATGAGAACTTTTTGAACTCTAGCAGAGAAACTGATAGAGTCATAAAACTTAACAAGAGTAAACTACATGGAACACTAGGTGGCTCAATTGGTTGAGCATCAGACTATTCATTTTGGCTTGGTTCATGATCCCAGGGTCGTGGGATCAAGCCCTGCATTGGCTCAGCATGGAGCCTGCATGGAATTCTTTCTTTCTCTCTACTCCTCTCCCTGTGTCCCTCTCCCTTGCTTGTATACATTCTCGCTCTCTCCCATTCTCTCTCTCAAATAATTTTTAAAAAGAATTAACTACATGGTATTGAAATAACTGATGAAGATGATAATAACTTTCTGCACAGTTGAAAGTTCACATATCACTTTTGCCTCCTTTCAAAACTCAACAACTGTGCTTTACATTGTGATTTAAAAGTATAGAAGTTACCAAATGACTAGAGGTGACGGGAAGGTGGAGCAAAGATGCAGGGAAGGCTGGAACAGTAGAGTTCTGGTCTGTTCCTGGCACTCCTCACTCCAGTACCTATGTGAAGCTCATATCATTGAGGTCTTGAACTGAGAGGCACCAAGAAACCAGTTCTGCGAAGGGATTCTTGCCAAAGTGATGGGTCCAGTCACTGGTCAGAGTTGGCCAAGGACCACAGAATAGGAGCTCTTGGGTATGGAATCTGGGAGAACACTAGGGGCAGGGTGGCACCAAGCAGAAGCAGTTTGGGCCTCAGAGCAGACAGCAGGAGGGGCGCTGTCCACGGTGCTGAAAGTTCTCTGAGCCAGGTAACTAAATAGCACCAGAGAACTGGAGGCTCACTGCTTGCCAGAATTTCCTGCAAGTAGAAACTGTACTAGAACCAGATAAGAGGGGTCAGGTGGAGCAAGTGACCTAGAGAGATGGTTGGAGGTACTCTGTCTTCTCCTAGACTCTGCTGGGAAAGAGGGTTCCCATATTCCTGGGTAGAAAAGCAAGGAGTGGGTGTCACTCCAGGATCTAGCTATGCTAATTTTGGGTAGAGATGAGGAGACATGTAGTGCCTCTTTCTACTAATGTCCTGTATGTAAAAAAAAAAAAAAAAAATCCATGTGTAAGTGGACCCATGCAGTTCAAACCCCTGTTGTCAAAGGTCAACTGTATTTCTCTTTTTCTATCTGATCCCTCTAGTATCCGGAAATTCTTGAGTATTCCTACTTTACATGACAATATAGATATTTGTTTAAGTTCAGTGAAAATCTGTTCTTATTACAGGACAAAATTGGGCAACTGCTTAGTTTGGCTTCTTCAACTAATAAAGCTTTTAAAAATGGAATCTATGTCATTTCCAATATTAAGAAAACAATGAGGACTCTATAAAGGCAATAAATCCCCTTTAGATATCACCAAAGCTTTAACTGGAATATCATATTTGAGAGTATACATAAAACCACTATTCTTGTTGCACTTATGCCAATAACCAGACCCAGTTTAATAAGACTAGACATGCTTTGCAAACAAATTAGTCTTTCTATGATTGTTTTTGGTAGAAATTGGGGTAACTGTAGAGATGAAAAATATTCTCAGCAGAAACTACAACACATCCTAATGGATAACAGATTCTAAACCTGTTCATTGTCTTTGAGGCATTGTTATTTATTTGTAAAATGGAATGGATCCTAAAATATTCTATTTTTCTCCAGTATCTGTCTACAACTCTCCAAACTAATGATTCCAATTTTCTTCTACCCTTCTGATTTGGAATTACTAAGAACAAAAACTGCCCTTTTCTCAAAGCCCTGAAAACTGAGCTGGATAACTTGATATAAACATCACAGAAATCAACACAATGGCTCATCTACAGAAAACCGTTGTGTCTGCTTATTGATTGGACTACTCAGAACAGTCACTTGAACATCCAATAGCATCACCAGAGACAAATAAATTACACAAGATGCTTTGAATCCACATCCAGAAGCCTAATGTCTGGAAGTCTTTTCAGTTGGCTGCTCTGTGGACTCAGAACCTGGTGCACAGTCTGCCCCAAACATTAACTGTTTTCTTGTTTTCACTGAAATGTCTCTTGTTAAATACATGATTGCTCACATGGCATAGGTCTAACTTCATTACCTCCTGAAATGAGACATCACTGTTTAACTGAATTGACCTATTCTCAAGACTAAGGGATGGATTCAATGAGATAAAATAAGCTACCAACTCAACTTCTAGAAAATTCTTGGGGAAATTTCAAAGGAGGTAGATAATAGGTAGCAAATTGTGTTACCCCAAAGTATGCTTCTTGTTTTAAGAATTATTTCAAGCTGATAAAGGTGGTTTTAGGTAATAGAATTGCTTTAGATTACCTGTTGGCTAAACAAGGAGGAGTCTCTGCCATCGCAATTACTTCCTGCTGTACCTGGTTCAACACCTCTGGTATTGTAGACATTGAAATATAAGAAATTAACAAACAAGCCACTTAACTAAACAGGTTGATGTCTCTTCTGGTATATTCTTTGATTTATATGATATCAACTGGTTTGGTTCATGTGTACCCTGGTTAAGGAATATTCTTCAGTCTCTTGCTATTGTCCTCCTGATAGTCAGCATGGTAGTCTCCATGGTGTGCTGTATTCTCTCAAAGGTCTTAAATATGTGTCCACAACCTTCATCAGTACATCAGATGGTCTCACTGCACTTGGAGAAACAGAAAAAAATGAACAGATGAGTAGTAAAAACAAACAATTCTTCCAATGTCTCTGACATCATTACCTATAAGCTTCATGACAAGACAACTTAACCCTAATGGTAACTAAAAGTTGCACTAATACTAACTTGTTGGTCAGTCTCTCCAGTATGAGAAGATGACCCAAAGGGAGTAATTATTAAAGTATTAACACAAAGCCATTGGACTGAAGTAGCTCTGATACCTTGAAAGCCTACATAGGCACACCAATCACAAACAGCAAAATAGGCTTTTCCAAATAAGGCAACTACTTAAACTACAATCATTCAAATGATTTCTTTGATTTTCTTTCATATCTTCTCTATATAAACCTTGACAGTGGATCCTGTCAGTGTTCCTAACAACTGAGGTTTGGTGTTTCCTGATTCCAATTCATATATGCTCAAATCCTTAAAAATTATAAAGTGCTTCAGTTTATCTTTTAACACCAGGAAAGACAGTGGTGAGCTCCTCTCCCATCCCCAATGGACCCAGAGTGACAATGACCAGAGTCCCAGTGTCACCATAATGAATGGACCTTGAAGCTCTTTTTCTCTTCTCTACAGCAGCCCCTCTTTCTGCATCCATAATACACATGTGGGAGCTGCCTTGCAGTCTGTCTGCCCATTCTCCTTTCACAGGGCACATCTGCCTTAGGCTCCTACCCATTTTGCCCTCATCTCTCAAGACTTCTGGGAACTTCTAAGACCTTCTCTTTTTCATTGCAGCTGCTGCTTGCATCCTTCCTCCTTCTTATCCATCCTTCCCAAGGAAGCTGGTGGCTCTAACAAAAGCATAGATCTGATCCATCCCTCCTCTGTTAAAAGCTTTTCTTCTGTTGACTTCCAGTTGCCCTCAAGGTGAAGAACACACCTCCTAAATGGCCCAAGGACTCCTCACTGGCCTGTTCTCTTCCTTCTTCTACTCCTTTTTCTTCTTCCTCCTTACACTGGATCCTCTGGGATCACCTGAGGGCCTCACTGCTCAGGTATTTGCATAGACCAGTCCCTCTGCCTAGAGCTCCTTGGCTTTCATATGCCACTGGCCAATAAGGCAGGCACATGGTAACACTCACTCATTTTCATCCTAGTCAGTCTAATGAATGGCCAAATTAATAAGGAATCTAATGAATAAGCTGAAAGCAAACCACTCGAGAACGTCCTACAGGTGACAAATTCCTTTTGTAATCAAGGACAATCACAGGTATTCTCAGAAACCTACCCATGGGCTTTGGAATAAGACACTTCAATAACATTTACCTATAGTTGTGAGGAAAATGCAGTGATGAAGCTGTTTTCCTACCTTACTCTTGCCCCCACTCTGGGACCACACATTGCCTCCCCCATCCAATCTGTCTGGATTCCTGTGACCTCTAGTTTCAAATCAGATGCAGAATTTGGCCACTCATCATTACCACCCCTACCCTATTAATATATGCCACTATCATGCCACCTGTGAACCTCTGTGCCAGCCCCTCACTGGTCTCTGCCTTTGTGGTCAACTGTGATCTGCTTAGAACTAGTTCCAACCACACACCTCCTCTGCTTAAAAACACTGCCCCCCACCCCAAGCCTCCTCACAATCCTGTCTGTCAGCCCTGCCTTTCCTGACCACCACTTTAGAATGGTAGCTTTTCATCCCCCTACCTTACATTCTCCTTGGGAAGGAGGAGAGGACACTACCCCCTATTATCTAATGTTTTGCAGCAAACTAGCTCAATTGACATTGAGAAAACACTGGACTCTCCAGACTCTGTTGCATCACCCCTAAAATAGGAAAATAGATCCTATTCCTCTAAGCAGGAGGAGACCAAAGTGGTCGTCATGTTGCCTGGCACACAGTAAGTGCTCAATTGATATTTTTTCACACGTCCTACCTATGCAAAGAGTCCTTCTTATCTATCGCAGGGTTGAACTGTGCCCACATTGGACCTAATGGCAGAAATACGCACTGGTGGGGGCACTGTGACAGCATGGCACCTGAGGGGGCCCTTTGGACTCATGACCATTCTCTGCAAAGACTGACCCAGAGAGGCATTCATTCCTTTACAATGCTCATCTGTCCCCAACCCCAATGCCCAAGAGAGAAATCACCATCCCTCTGGGCTGTGCCAAGTATCAATGCACCATGACATGCTCGGGACAACTCAGAAGTCTCCACGGGACAGTGAAGAGGGACTTATTCAGTGGGCATGGTGGCTTCTAGCTCTGCTGACTTTCCTTAAATGCTAGTGGGCTGGGTACACAACTCCCCAGCCATCAGCCTCCACAGAGAATAGTATCAAAGAATCAGAGACTGTACATCCTGGGATGCTGCCATCAGGATGCACATGAAGCCAGAGTTTTGTCAGCCCCACCAGCCTCAGTGCTACTTCATCAAACTTTAGATCTCACCCTCTTTCCAGGAGATTGCAAATGCAAATACCTCCATACTCTACATGCCAGGGTGCTCCCCACCCCGCGACCTCACGGTGACTATGAGGATGACAAAAGTACAATAAATGGGCTCTGGAAACCAAAAAGTGCCTTAACACTATATTGACAGTCATACTACTGTTACCACTGAATCAGTAAAGTTTATTCTCAACCCACCAGAGGAGTTGAAAATAGAACCAAGACAACCTCTCCAATCTCTCCAAGCATGGGGATCCTCCCCCTTTCCATTGAAGACCATAAGAGGCACACCCCAGTTTCCTAAGACAACCTGCACCAAACTGTTCTGAAAATGCACACAAACTGTAACATGGTCTCTAAGTGGTTGAAGAAAAAGCAAAACACTTAGCAGTAGGAGAGCAAAGAACTTTCTGATCAGTGACACTGTGAGAATGCCTAACAAAAGCAACATGGCAATATCTGTGGCCTTGTAAAAATAGAAATCATTTGGATAAAAAACAAAACAAACAACAACCAAAACCCATAGAGGGATGCTAACAACTGCTGAGAAGGAGCTCCTTGCAATCACTCGTCTCTCCAGCTATTTAAGGGGCATTCAGGCCACAGATCTGGCTATGCTGGTGGGGAGACTGAGAGCCATCCAGAAACTCTATGGTGTCTCTTTTTCCTCTCCAAAAATTCTTGGGGCATTTCTTTGGCCTCAGGAACAAGGGGATTGCAGGGGCCTTATCTTGGATCTGATTAAGGCTATTCCCACTTCCCCTTTCTCAAAAGCTGGACTCTACTTGAACCCCTTCACCAGCAGTAACCCTGAGGTCAGAGGTGCCCTGAAGAACACCCACGGTGGGAGGGCTGTTCATGTGTCGAGGATCAAGTAGAGATCAAAGGCACCTTTGCAGGTTTTCAGCTTTTCTGTCTTGCTCCTGTAGTGCTTGGTGCCCTGGTAGAAGGGTCTCCAGGCTGGGATGCGGTACAGGAAGCTCCCTGTGCTCAGCAATGGAAGTGGCAGCAGCAGGAGCAGGGAGAGTGCAGGGCCTGGCATCCAGAGGTTGCTGCTCCTCATTTTCTTAGCTGTCCCTGATGCCTCACTCTCTCCTGGGGCAGGAGTGTGATCAGTGCAGGCCATGCCCAGCCACCACAGGCCTCTTCTTCATCCACTGTCTCTCCTTCAACCCTGTGTCCTGGGGCCTTTTTCCCTCCAGCCCTTTCCCCAAGGTGCTCTTAGAACCTCTACCTGGCACCTGCCCTTTGGGCAGGAGAGGCAAGCATCTGGCTCTGGGGCAATGGCTCCACTACCTGAGTGGCCCTTCCCTGCCCCACAGAGGCAGAATTCCCTGTGATGTCCGTTATGATGGACAGGAGGGTTGACATGTTGACTTTGTGACCTACAGCTGTGCTCAGTGTTCTATCTGTTGACAACCCCAGGCAGGAGTCATGGGCTCTTTGGACGGGGGGTAAAATGTGGCTTCCATTTGTCTCTTATCTTAAACTCTCTCAGGTAGCCATTAAAGTCTCCAAGACTCTGGCTTTTTGTAACTCAAAGAAGGTAGCTGCGGTGGTTTAGATGAGGACATCCCTGTGCATGTCCAGGAAGTTGAGAAACTGGGAGACTAGAGTACAGTAATGAATGGTCATGGTGTGAACACTGAAGTCACCCATGGACATGGAAGGATCTAGAAGGTCTAGGTTTGTGCAAACATTCCAAAGTTCTTTGTGAATAAGGGACATTCTGGCTATCTCTTGCTGTGTAACAAACCACCCAAATGTAGTGACATACAAGAGAACCATTTAATATGCACACAGGTTCTATGGATCAGAAATGCAGAGAAGGCTGAATGGGGATGGCTTGCCTGTGCCCCATGGTAAAACATGGGCACCAACAACTCATAAGTCAAAAGCGATTGCAAAACGTCAGTACGCAATGTAAAAAGTATTTAGAAATTCCTTCACTGATTTATTTTGTTTTATTCATTTTTTTTGCATGTACAAAACAAGTGTGATATACACTAAAAATCCTTCTATGTTTAAAGTAGAGTTTTCAATATGTATTATAAAAAATTTAAATGATAAAAAGCTTTGTGTTGGCAGTTTTGTTTTGTTTTCTTTTTTGGAGTGGTATTTAAAACCATGGAATATCTTGGGGCACCTGGGTGGCTTAGTTGGTTAAACGGCCGACTTTCACTTAGGTCATGATCTCGCGGTTCGTGGGTTCGAGCCCCGTGTCGGGCTCTGTGCTTACTGCCAGCTCAGAGCCTGGAGCCTGTTTCAGCCTGTGACTCCCTCTCTCTCTGACTCTCCCCTGCTCATGCTGTCTCTCTGTCTCTCTCCTAGAAATAAATAAAAAATGAATAAATAAAACCATGGAATATCTTAAATGATACTTTGGAATTGATAGAATTGGTATGCATGTCATTAGCATATTAGCTATTCCTTGTTTGATGCTTGGTATTGTCACATTTTTGCATACTTTTCTATTGATTAGACATCTCATGGTGGTCTTAATTTGCATTTCCATAATATCTGATGGTTTTCTGTTCAAGAGATTTTGGGCCATTCATTTTTCTTTGTTTGTGAAGTGCTTGTTTCTACCTATATCCATTCTCTGATTCAGGTGTTCATGCTTTTCATATTGATTTTTTGGCATTCCTTATACAGGTTGGATACTAATCCTTTAACAACTGTTGCAAATATTTTCTTTTAGCATGTGGCTTATTTTTCACTTTTAAGATTTGTAGGATTTTGTATCAGACTTAAGTAATTCTTTCCTGTTAAGGTGAGGCACAATTTATCTAAAAGTTTTAAAGATTTTATTTCACACTGAAGCCTTTGATAAAACTGCAATTAATTAATAAGTGCAATTTGTGCTAGGGATCTTACTCCATGTTTTCCCATATATAAGTCTCATCACCATTCTTTTGTATTTGTTGACTATTCTATCTTTTTCTCAGTGATTTGCACGTCACCTCTGATGCATTTCAAATCCCATATAGGTGTGGACGTGGTTCTGTCATCTCTGTTCTATTCCTTTTATCCATCTGTTGGTTAGTATTTATAGTGTCAATACTACAGTATCTTAGTATAGTATGGATGATTATGTTATTTTTCCTTTCTGTCCCTTATTCCTGTAAGGAAGGATGGTGCTTACCTGCCACATTCATAGCAGGCTTAGACTTGATTTCAACAATGAAATGTTAACATAAGTACATGTGTCACTTCTGGACAGAATCCTTAAGAATGTAGGTATGATTCAGGCGAGCAACTGTGTTGCGCAATGCCCTCTTGGAAACCTGAGGTGGATATGTATATTTGGCAGAGTATGGAATATGAGTGGAAAATAAATTTTGTGTTTTTAAGCTAATCAGATGTAGGGGGCTGTTACCAAAAGATAACCCAGCTGAATCTGATACACACGGGGCATTGGTTATCTAATCTAACACAGAGAGTGCTACAGCAAGCCTTTGCAGGGCAAGGTAAATTATCCACCTTACTTTTCTTATGGCCACTTGTTCTTTCATGTAAATTTTAGAATCAGTTTACCAATTCTTCACTCCCTTCAAACACTCTTAATATTTTATTACAATAACATTAAATATATAGATACATTTGAAAGGATTCGAATCTGCTATCTAGCCTCCCCTAACGGTGAACATGGCAATGTCTCCATTTATTTCGTCGTTTTCAATGCCTTTCATATAAACTTTCCTATAAAGATCTTAAACTGGTTTGCCAAGTGCCTTTCCTACACTGTGTATATACATATACATTTGTACTTTATATATATATATATATACACACACATACACACATTCAAATAGATGTATATATACATATATATGTACTTTATACATACATACATATATACAAATATATTTATATAAATATACATATACAATTGCTATTATAAGTAACATTTTTACAAATAAAGTTTTTAAACTGTTTATTGGTGGTGTGTTGTGGACAAATGTATGAATTTATTGACTATTCAGCAATCAAAAAGAATAAAATCTTGCCATTTGCAACTATGTGGATGGAACTAGAAGGTATCATGCTAAGCGAAATTAGTCAGTCAGAGAAAGACAAATATCATATGACTTGACTCACATGAGGACTTTAAGATAGACAGCAGATGAACATAGGGAAGAGAAGCAAAAATAATATAAAAACAGAAAGGGGGAGAAACACAAGAGACTCTTGAATATGGAGAACAAACAGAGGGTTACTGGAGGGTTTGTGGGAAGGGGTATAGGCTAAATGGAAAAGGGGCATTAAGAAATCTACTCTTCGGACATCCAGATGGCCAACAGACACATGAAACGATGCTCAGCATCCCTCCTCATCAGGGAAATACAAATCAAAACCACACTGAGATACCACCTCACGCCAGTCAGAGTGGCTAAAATGAGCAAATCAGAGAACTCTAGATGCTGGCGAGGATGTGGAGAAACGGGCACCCTCCTGCACTGTTGGTGGGAATGTAAACTGGTACAGCCCCTCTGGAAAACAGTGTGGAGCTTCCTCAGGAAACTAACAATAGAACTCCCTTATGACCCAGCAATAGCACTGCTAGGAATTTACCCAAGGGATACAGAAATGCTGAGGCATAGGAGCACATGTACCCCAATGTTCATAGCAGCACTCTCCACAATAGCTAAAACATGGAAAGAGCCTAAGTGTCCATCAACAGATGAATGGATCAAGAAGATGTGGTTTATCTATACCATGGAATACTACATGGCAATGAGAAACAATGAAATCTGGCCATGTGTAGCAACATGGATGGACCTTGAGGGTGTTATGCTGAGCGAAATAAGTCAGGCAGAGAAGGACAAATACCATATGTTTGCACGTATAGGAGGATTAGGAGGAACTTGACGGAGGACCAAGGGGGAGAAGAAGGGCGGAAATGGTGGGGGAAAGGGAGAGAGGCAAACCATGAGAGACTCTTGAATGCTGACAAAAACTGAGGACTGATGGATGTGGGGGGGAGGGGGGATGGGCATGAAGGAGGGCACTTTGGGGATGAGCACTGAGTGTTATGTAGAAACTAATTTGACAATAAACTATTTGTAAAAAAAAAAAAAAAAAAAGAAATCTACTCTTCAAATAATTGTTGCACCATGTGCTAACTAACTTGGATGTAAATTTTTAAAAATTAATTAAAACATTTATTGATTACTCACCTAACTTGCTAAATATATCTGTAGAGCTGTTTTGGTGTCTATAAAAAGCAAAAAGTATTGTGCTGGTTAGTTCTCTAATAACACATTGACTGGACGCTGTGATGGAGGCATTCTTGATTTTAAAAAGAATACTTCTAATACATCACCATTAAGAATGATATTTATGGGAGGCTTTTGGTGGACATAGATCAGGAGCAGTTTCCCTTCTCTTCTTGGCTTGCTACAAATCATGAACGAGTGTTGAATTTTATCTAAATTATCTTTCTGCATACTTTATGATGAATATCATTTTTCCCAGTAACTTATTCATATGACTAATAACATTAATGTGTATAAAATCAATTTTAATATTTTATAAACCCAACTTGGACATGATAATTTTTGTAAACACTGCTGGATTGAGTTTACTATTAGTTTAGAATTTTTTCTTACCTATGAACATGAGTGAGGCTGATCTGTAATTTCCTCTTTTTGTGCTGTCCCTTAACTGTTTTACATTAGGGAATAATAGCCTCAGAAAATGTGCTAGGGCTGTTTTTACCTTCTTTATTCTTGGAAGTACTTTCAACATGATCCCAACAATCTGCTCTGTGTATATTTGGTATAATACAATCTCTGCCTAGTGTTTTCTTTGTGAGAATTTTTTAAATTACTGATATCATTTATTTAACATTTACTGAACATTATGGACTGAGCTCTGCCCCCCAACCTCACTTCGGATTATGAAGCTCTATCTAACACATAATGTCACTGTATTCAAAGACAGGCCCTATAAGGAGATGATTCAAGTTAAACGAGGTCCAAAGAATGTGGCCCTCATTCTATAGGAACTTTTTTGTGGTACTTTGTTATAGCAGTCTGAGCAGACTAACACCCTGGATTATTTTGTGCTTGTATTTCTTTTATCAGTCATTTAGGTACCATATTTCTGTAGGAATTTGGATATTTATTTCCATAGATGGGCATGAAGTTGTTCAAAATATGTTTGAGTTTTATATTTCAGCTCGATTTGTGGTTATAGCTTTTTAATTTCTAATATGACTTCAGTCTTTTCTTATTCTCTGCATTCACATCACGGAACATATTGCCCCAAGGGGGTGAAAATTAGTCTCACAGT